GGCAATTATGAAAAGGTTGCTTTTTTTCAGGAAAAGGGCACAATCGAAATTGTTAATCCCTGCGTTAGAAAGCTCTGTTTTTCTGGAACGGCTCAAAAATCCGCGGAGATCATCGAGTTGAATGTACTTATGTTAGTGATAACAGCATTCCAGGCATCGATAATTGCTGTGGAGTCACGGCGAGGAGATAAATGTTATCATGGCTAGAGTCACCATAAAAGCAGACATCCAATGGGTAAAGATAATTTCCGATTTCTTTCCCAATTTAGATGGAAGAGAAGAATCGTCCCAATCTGTGGTTGGTACATTTAGTTCCGACCATCTGAAAGCTGATCACCCCAGCCCCAGGAAGGAAATTATGTTATTTGATAGAGTTATAAATGCGCTTCAAATCATTGTGGGGCAACCTAACAGAAGGTTTACGGAAAGTAGCATTCGAATACTGAGAACCGAAAGCCTCAAGGATTTTCTTTACGACCTAATAACTGTCTAATAAGATGATCACCTGCCGTCGAAACAAGGATAGTGAAGGCGACGCAGTTTGAAAAGCCCAACTTTTCTGCACCGCTAAGAGATTTTGCGCAAAGAATTGCGACTGAATCTGGGATATGGTCACCCGAAAATGGTATCTTTGCCACAGTAGGTGTTCTTTTTTTGACGAAGAGCTATGAAGCGAATATAAGAAAAGTTTGGGAAGGCGTGCACTTGCGCTGATTAGAACTTGCTGGTTAGCCCATGACAGCGTGGAATGATATCACTGCGCGCTTGAAGTAGAATGGTTGGGCAGAAAAGAGTTAGTAGTAGAAGAGTTTCGTACTGCGTCGATGTGGTGCACGATACCTCCTAAACCTATGATCACATGTCCTCCGAACTGCGTCTCATCCCTTGGTCACTGGAAAAGACGTACCGCAAACGTCGCGGTCTTGCGAAGATTATGTTCACCGCTTTCAAGGAGGAAGGATCGGGTGGTGCTCAATAGGCCATTTCCTTTTCAGTTGAGCCGCTTTCGTTACTTTGAGGCAGCGTGCCAGCGACCTGTGGCGCCCCATCCGCCTGGACCTACTAGTCCTTTTGCTGCTTGCTCGGCCGTCGGCCTGGATCTCGGCTTGGTCTCCGAGCGCGGACAAAACGTCCAGCCGACCAGAAACGTACTGCCGATATCTATCGTACGCGACGAGCCAATGAGAGCCTTCGTCCAACGTAGTCGTGCTGCCGGTTCCTGTCGGCCTCTCATAACTTCCCTTTACCGCGATGCTGGCTGGTTGCTGGTGGACGCTGGCGTGTAGCGGTGGCTGGTTCGCTACGGCTTTGCATAACCTACAATTCCTAGCGGCCCCTGACGCTGACCGGACGTTCCTGCACGCTAAGCTGGTCGCTTGGTGGACGCTTGCTTTCGGCTAGGTGGAACGCTTGGCTCCGCGCTCGAAGTATGCAAGCGCAGCCTGAATCCATGGCACACTAGGCACCCTCATTTTTTTTATTTGGCCTTCTATCTGCGCCAGCATGAACGCGACATGATAGTTTGCGAGGAGCCGCACGTAGGCTTACCCCAATCAAAGGAGCATAAGTTATTAGTGTCAGCTATTTTAACTACTCCCGTGGGCGCAAAGCAGGTGTAATTGGGTTCATCCTCTATCCGGGAGTTCCGCCAAAGCCCTCCTTAATCCATTGAGTCACCCATTTCGCTTTGTCGAGACTTTGAACAGCTTTGGTTTGCTACTGGGCGGTCGAGGAGTTAAACAGGCCGCTCCTCTCTCGAGCAAGTTCTAACACTAGGAGAATAGAGAGAGGGTGCTCGGAAACTTGGAAAAACGAGAATCCCGCTTGCTATTTCCTTGTTATAACATCCACGCGCTGTTATAAATCCAGCGTTGTACATCATTGTAGACCAGACCAAGCGCTTCTAAATGGTCCATTAGCTTAGGCTTTGTAACAATTATATGGTCCGTGGCACTGAATCAGGTACAGCTATTCTCTAAATCTCAACAGAAGGAGTCGAGCTAAAAGCACTAAATCTTTATTCAGTCTGATATGTGTGAATACCTCGATGTAGTGGAACAACTGCCGTCCTAAAAATTTCAGACGCTAAGAATAAAACACTATGAACGAAAATAAATAACTGCGTCATTGAAGTCGTTGAAGTGCTAAGTTTACGCAGAGGCTCTCTACAAATGATCGACGACATTTAGTTCTTGAGCTTGGCTAGAAGATCAAGGTACTGCGGACTTTGCAGGAAACGTACATAGGGATCGTTGCGTAGGACCTGAAAAGGAACTGTACTCAAAAGTCCATTGCGAAGAAAGTGTTCATACCCATAGTCAGCAACATTGAGCACGTTACAACTGATATCGTCGCAATCAGTAGGGGCGGTGACAGGAGGGGTGGAGTGAGCCCCGGCAATAACTTGCATTTCTACTAGTGACCGGCTAGTGATCGATTGAACTAGAAAGAAAATAAGCCATGGTAGAAATGTAGCGGATATACTCACTCCATGCCTTCTACGAGCGCACTTATTGATTGCTATAATATTAATGGAATTATCATTACTATTTTGACGCGGGGCTGAACGCTACTGCGCTGAGCAACTGTGTTTGTGTTTAGGGGTCAAACTACCTCAAGAAACTTCTAGCCATCAGTCATTTGAACCCAAGCTCCGACGGGAAGTGGGGTCGCTCGCAGAGGGCTGATAGTGTCCAGTAAGTCGCCACTCAAATCTCATATCGGTGCAGGTGACCCACCTGTTCGACATGCTTGATAGCCTCATCAAAGAGTGTTATGTCGACATCCTTCTCTTGAATTTTCTTTTCAATCACCTGCCGGAACGCCGAACGGTAAGAACACCTGAATATGTCACATTTTGCATTCCAAATAAGTTGTTCTAGAAGAAAGCATTAGATTCATTCCTAGTAAAGATTATTCGAACAACCCCAGGAAAACTGACACCTTCATTATTTGCCCTTTCCGCAAGGCAAAGTTATTTTTTCAAAGCCAAAAAAAGGCGGGCCCCTTTTTTGTCTCTTTCCGGCAGTAAGTTGCGCTGGACTCTTGTTTTTCATACCGCGGAACTCCACCACTGCTTCCCAGAATCGGAGATTCTCTTCAGCATGAATACCGCGAAGGAATAGACGAAAGTGATGACGTCCAACCTGAAAACAAGGAATCGATAAACTGGAATAAGCGTAGGCGTTCAGTATTTTCGTGAAAAGCTGCTCACCTTCCACAACACCTCCCCTTCTCCGTATTATAAAAGCTGCCCGTCCTGTCTTTGCACAAAATTTTTCTTTTTTTTGCGAAAGCAAAATCTGCTTCTTCCTATTCTTTGTAAATGTACCCACGGTTAGCTGACTGATGTTCGCTGCGATGTCGCCACTCTCGAAACTGAGTTATGGAAAAAATGCGCGCATGAGGCAAATTAGTCGTTTAACTTGACCCCTCTTCTGCAGCCCCCAGCAGAACCTCTCACCATAATTATTCACCTTCATCTACACTATCATCGCTGATTTAAGGACAGGGAAGGCGAACTACCTCATCCAAATAATGACCGTCGGAAAGCGTTTGCGTACCAGCCGGACACAAGATCTCTTGTATCATGGAAACTTCACCAAAAAAAAAACACTCACATGATTTCCTAATAGGGCTTCGAAACTAGTCGTCCAGCGTTCAGCGTATGCTCTCGGAAGAAGCTTCTCCAGAAAGTTTAGATAGAGTTCAGAGCGGCGGAAGCGGGGGAATTGATCGTTTTCCAGAAGTCGTTTCACCTGCAACGTATTTTTAAAGTTTGTAAACAGCTTCGTCAGCAGCAACTACTCTATTGCAATAAAGTAGCGCTAATGCTATGATGCTTTGTTGGAAATGCCACGACTATACAACATTATTCGGAGCGGAAAATAAAAATGTATTCAATATATCAATAACCTCCTTAACAGCAGGTGCAAACTCCTCTGGGTCGACATTGTCGGATTCCACAGCGTCTTTGATCTTCTGGAAACAATTGCTTTACTTTTTCATTTCCTACTGCAAAGCGTTCACCCCCCACAAATCCTATCCGCAGCCTCATCATCTGCGTGGCGGGCTGAACGCGTTTTGTATTTGCCTTCCAGAAAGCGTTACCAATGCGTTGGAGGGTTGCCACGTCCAGAGCCTGCGCCAGCTACGCGTGCCGTTATACTTCTTCTCGCCGAAAACAGTAACAGTTATGGGCCTCATTCCCCTGGAACCTTCCGCCAGTTCTCGTCAAAACTCTGGCTCGACTCTTCACGCGCTACCTGTCGGAATGCAAGGTACCCACCTCGTGGAAAACCAGCAAGACTGTGTTGCTGTACAAGAAGGGAGACCTGTACGACATTTGGCAATTATCGCAATCTGCCTGCTGTCTGTAGTCTACAAACTCTTCACACGAGTCATCCTTAACAGGATTGGAAGAACACTAGACGAAGGACAGCCATGCGAGCAAGCAGGGTTTCGAAGAGGATTCAGCACGATCGATCACATCCACACGGTAACGAAGCTCATCGAAGTATCGCGAGAGTACAAGATGCCGTTATGTCTCACGTTCATCGACTTGAAGAAAGCCTTCGACTCCGTTGAGACAGAAGCGGTTATCGAAGCCCTGGGCAACCAGGGTATTCCTACTCAGTACATCAGGATTCTTCGTGAGCTACAGCAACTTCACGACCAAGATCTCACCATTCTACAAGGAGATCATCATCGACGTGAAGAGAGGGGTCCGACAGCCAGTTGAGCGAGAAGGGCGTCGACACCATCTCGCCACTCGTCAGCGCTCTCTCGAGAACGTCATGCGTCAACTGGAATGGGAAGACATGGGAGTGAAGATCGACGGTCGGCAACTACACCATCTCCGCTTTGCTGACGACATCGTTTTGATAACGCCAAACATCGAGCAAGCGGAACGAATGCCTTTGCTAATATTCACTGGGCTGCCGGCGTGTCGGACAAAATCGGCTTACAGGCCAGAATCTAACGAAGACGATGCTTCTATTGAGAAAGACTGGATCTGGTATCATGAGTGCCCATTCACGCTCAACGGAACGACCATCTCTGAATGCTCTAGCTATGTGTACCTAGGTCGTGAAATCAATATGATGAATGACCTAGCTCCAGAGCTGAGCAGGAGGAAGCGAGCGGCTTGGGGAGCCTTCAAGAACATCGAGGGAGTAGCGAAGAAGACGAAGAACACCAAGCTCCGTGCCCCTTCCCACCTCTTTCACTATTCGCGGTCCTTCCTGCCTGACGTACGCCTCAGAGACTTGGACTCGGTTCCCCCTTTTTATACGAAAGCAGGCATAAACGTGCGGTTGCGTTATTCAACACGCATTGAAAGGGCGATGTTTGGAGTGCTACACGCAAGTGAGAGAGGGAATCCGGAGCTCCGCACTCCGCCAACGATCGAAGATCAGAGACGCCGCCGCATTTGCCAAGGCTTCGAAGATTAGGTGGGCCGGACACGTCATGCGTTTCGAGGACGACCGCTGGACCAGAGCGATCACCGACTGGATTCCACGGGATGTCAAGCGAACGCCTGGACGACCGCCTATGCGATGGTCAGACTTCTTCGTGAAAGCTCTGAACGAACGGTATGAAGTTCATCGTGTCCCTCAACAGCAGAGGGAGATGTCCACTGGGCAACTCTTGCACGTTGCAGCGAACGCAATTGTAGAACGGGCTTGACTGTGGGCCCGCTCGAGCGAACTCCCGAGATCAAGCGGGAGCCACAGGTGATACAGGTTATGGTTGAGCCACGCAATGTCAGCGTCCACAACCTTCTCCCGTCGACCTGCGCAAAACTTGAACTCCATTCCTTATACCTGCAATTTCTTTCCTTTCTGCATTTTTTCGCCGCACAGCGTTTCTGACCTTTGTGATATCGTGCAGTCGCAGACTTATTCACTAAACGGTTCTTTCCAATCTATAGTAACCTTTCCCCCATACCAGTATTCACTTCCCAGCTTGAACACTTGATGTTCTCGGCAACTCCTTCCTCTGCTGTCTGACGTCACACAGTTTTCGCAACAGATACAGTAAAGTTTATTTGTCAACTATCCCTCCTAGAGACGCCAAGGCACATGCACTTATTCTTACAAACAGACACCTGTTATGGTGGGAACGATCCCTCCCCAGCAGTCGGCGGTAGCATACACGATTTCCATGTAGTCACTCCCCCCTCCACTAAGGGCGGACTTCATATTTGGGTTCTTGGCGTAGAGAATGATCGATCGTCGTTGTGGAAGGCGCGTGTGCAGAGCTGCACGGAGCTAGAAAATATAGGGTCAAGATATTGACCGAAAAAATTCTCCTAAACGTGAGAACGTATTACAAGCCGCAGGTTGACCGAAGCCGCCCACCGTTCTCAGGAAGTCGGCGCTGGTGCCATGTCTCCCCTTTCATACTGTCAGCACACGTTGAAAATGTAAACGTATGCATTCATTTGCAGAGGAGAGCAAGCCTAATAAAACGAACCATTCATTGCCCACCACTGCTTCAGTGGTGGACCGAAGCCTGGGGCGCCCGAGGACGCGGGTCGGGTCTAGGGCGCTTTGATGTACGGCGAGTATAACTGCACAATCTCTTTGGCGTATTCCTCAAATAAAAGCTATGACTCAAGTGAAGCAAGAACTAAACAAAAGACTAGCAATCGTGGGCGAACTTTCGGCTCTGTTCCAATACAGTAATTTTCGTTACAGACGCTGAGACATGTCAACGGACTGGGATTGGCGGTGTGCCAGTCCGTTTCTCAACCGTTGTCGCTTGCCCGCTTGAACAATTGGTGGCAAGCAAGCCGCTCGCCAAACCCAGCTCATGACACGCCCCAGCATCAGCGTTGAAAAAGGCTGCATATGTGGTGAGATATTTCAGTGCAGATGATGGCCGACTTTTGCTTCTGTTGTGAACATTTTAGGAAGAACTACTTTCGTTTGACCCATCCAACACGAAGCTCATTTCCCCTAGGGCTAAGACGAAAATGTTTACCCTTCTAGCTCATAATCGTTCTTCCCCAACTTCAGCCAAATGTTATAGTTTGGAAAATCGAAGAAATGTCGCGGGATCATAGCTCGTCAGATCATTTCTTGCCTTCGGAAAACTTTTTGTGCAAAATTGGGATTACAGCAGTTTGGTGAACTGTCGCACCAAAATGTCACTTCATATTGGATAAGGGTCAATGTTCACACTTCACTTCAACTGCTTGGTAATGCTCTCAAGATTGTAAAGACCAAAACCATATGTTGCATACATACCTTCTTCTCGTCGCTGTTTTTCATCTTTTTCAACTTATCCACAGCTTCGACAAACGACAGGTTTTCTTCGGCCAACGATTCGTAGAGGAAACAGCGAAATAGCTGGCATCCTGCAAGTTCTAGTCATTTTTTGCATAAACTGCTTAACACGATCTCAAGCCTAAGAGAGCTACAATTTCTTCGAGCTCACTTATAGTTGCGTGTGCATGTGAACCTGATACGACAATCCTGCGCTCTTTCTGAGTCTTCTACTAGCAGGTTCACTTGCCCCAACCGAAAAGTTAGCGGCGTCAAGGAGACTGATTTTGAATGGCCTCCATCAGCGTAGAGGCGAGGGGGGGGGGTGGTTGATTGAGTAATTACTGAAACCGTGATCAAGGATTTCTTGAACTCGACTCCCTGAGCCTAACGTAAATTTCCAATTTTCACTTTAATCGGTGGCTTCCCCTGTCTACAGCGTTCTGTGACAACTGTGACGTCGCATTCCGAGGGCATCGTATTAATCAGAGAAAAAAAATTCCGATTTTTCCTATTTCAGCTATAAAAGGGAGGGGGGGGGTAGTAAGTGCCTTCTGGCCATCAGAGATGTTCTTGATTTTTTTTTTCGTGTTTTTCTCATCTGTTACATCCCCCAACCCCCGCTCGACAGCTCGATGAAGAGGGAACTAGGAGGGAGTCGTATCAAGCCGCGTTCTAGAAGTCGTACGAACCCGACAAAATTCCCAACTAATGACGTGCCCCGATTACAAAGCCACCAACTGATACGTTCGTCCCACATTCACCGCATCTTCTTCCCAAGCTAGGGCCTTTCTCATTCTCATATTCTAGGGCCTTCTCATAAGTCTATTAATTTGCATATAAAGTTTATTAATTTGATTTGTTCTTCTTTTCTTTTTGCAATAGTCACCTTTTTCATCTTTCAGAACAGCAGCACATGTGCCAGAAGCCCAACTAGCAGCCCTCGGATACTCAACGCCGGTTGGATCGGGCATTGGTGGCGGTTGGCGGTCTACTTTTGCATTCGCATCGAACATAGACATGTTCTGAAAAATACGATCCATCTCCACTTGAGTATCCTGAAAATAGTTAACTTGTATGATTTATGAAGAAAAACACAGGAAATTCATGCGAAAAATATATTTCGCTGTGTAAATAGTATAAAATATAATGTCTAACAAAAGCATCACAGTTTCTTACTCCTCTTTTATCATTGCTACGGAAGGCAGTTTCTTACCCCTTTCATCATTGCAGGTGAAATTTTTGGAGAATTGGGAGGCGGAGATTTCAAGGTCTCTAGAACTGGCATTACCATAGTCAGATTGAAACTAGAGTGCTTGAAACTGGTCAAACTTACAATGACAGCAACTTTTATGTGTTCATGATCGCTGCGGGTTATGGGGCCTGCTGGGTTTGGCGCGCCGCCAGAACGATCTCCACCAGTTTTCGAAAAAGCAAGCGACAACAACTGCTGGGAACTTGTCCGCTTTGTTAAATGGTGGAGGTTCGGCCGTCTTAGAGTTGTGTCTTGGTGCAGTGATCTCTTCAGAATGGGAAGACGCAACTGTAAGACGGCATTACTCAATGAAAGTAAAAATGACGAAAATAACTAGAAGGACAGAGATTCTGCGAACTCGATGGAATAACAGCGCCAAACGAAGCGGAGTTGATGACATATGAAACGTATTAATGACAACCGGTAAATGCGCAGGTAATCCCAGGCGTATTCATCACGCCTTTCAACGAGGAAAAGCTTCCGCATAGGATTAGTAGCGAGTAGACGACTTGTAACGTTTGTTCTACAATCCATAATCGCTCACAAAGTGTAAAAGAAAATCCCATCTCTTTTACGGTAATAGTCACCCAAAAAACAGAAAGCCAGAGAGCAAAGTAAAAGCAGGCTTCAAGTTCAGAGCAGAAAGCTACTGATTTGAAAGCTGAAAGCCTTCTTAAAATGGCCACGTTTCTTCTCTTTGATGCTGACTGAACTACACAATGGATTGCGGGTACAAACCAATGTTCATTTCAGAGCTTTTCTCACACACCGCGGACCGCCGTTTTTCAAGGATCTTCGCATCAAATCTTCTTTTTTTACGTTGATGAACAGGAATTTCATCTCTTTTTTCCACTTTAGTGTCAAATATAAGTTCCCACTGTCTAAAAACGAGGTCTGATTACTAAGAGCATGAAATAGTTCAAATGAAACAGCGCAGGAAGAAAAATGTTTGACACACTGTGAGTGTCACGTGGTACGGAATGCGCTGAAATCAAAAAGACGAAATCTGCGTTTTTGGTTAATCTTTTAGACGACACGGCACGCATTCTTCTTTTATTCAGAATCAAGGTGGCTTATTGAATGCGATGTACCCTATACAGGTCGGGGGGGGGAGGGGAAAGGCGGGCAAAAAAAGACACTTTTCTATTCCCACTTTCAAGGCCATATAAGTTACACTTCATCAAACTCCTACCGGATATTTTCACCATCAAAGCCAACAACCGTTGTACACGATCATGAAACTCCGCCACAGCCTTCTGGACGAACGCCATCGAGAGATTCTGCCACGCGACCGTGATTCGGTGCCTGAGTTCAGCGAGGTCGTTGATTTCTCCGCCACTGTAGACCACCCTGTTGAGCTCCTCCCGAACCCGGTAATCGAGGGGGTTTAGGTCAGGTGACACACTTAGATATTCCGTCTTCTTCAGGTACTCAACGCCTTCGATTCCATGTGGTGACACCTAATCCTGCGTAGCGCCGTTGCCGGAGTTGCTCGATGTTGGAGGTCATTCCGATCAAGAGTGCTGGTCCGCAGGTAGTCCATGGGTAACTCCATACAAGAAGTATTGCAGCTCTTAAAGTTGACGTGAATTCTCCTTCTGGCCTTCTCCAGCCCGCCTGCGATTGGAGATGGCTTCATATTTGGTGTACATGAAGGTGATGGACGAGAGCCTGCTCCTGCTTATCGAGGAACATCTTGGGTATCTTCCGCCCTGGTACTCGTATCCACGTCTTCTGTCTGGGCTGCGTAAACTTTACTGATATGTGACTCGGCCAAAGTGTCTTTTTTTGCCCCCCCCCCCGTACATGTGACTTATGAGGAACAACCGA